ATACTCTGCATTTTTGTAGTGCGGTGTTACAAAGTGGACAATATCTGAGATGTTACAAATGATATCAGAGCCGTATACTGGACTAGTGTGCCAACAAGGATACTTGGCTTCTAAAGGGGTGGATTGTAAAAACTCACACCGGTTGTGGAAGAGAACAAAGGTTGTCTAATAAAAGACTGACTACCTCATTTATCAGTCAACCGTGAGTCCGGGACAAAAACGGATAATTCTGGTACGTTTAGCCTGACATGTAATGATTTACTCGTTCAAGACAAATGTTTACTGACTCAATTTCTCAAAATACAAAAATCCGTTGTGTATTTTTGGTATTTAGTAATTTTAAGGATTTATTTATCTGGTTTTAGTAAACGTAATGATTTGTTTATCCAAAAAATATCCAAAACTTAATCACTCAAAATTTAAACCACAAGTTGGATTTTTATTAAGACTTTTCTCTAATCTATCTATATTATATCATAAAGCATTTGACAACAACTTATTAAAGCTTCATATCTAAATTCGTGTAACTAAACGTAGATAAACATAATCAAATAAAAGATAAACATATCATTTTAAATGAAAAAAATTAGAATATAATTAAGATAAAAATTATTGAGTTCTAACAAAATATCTAATTATTATATTTACAAAATATTATATTATTAAACAAAAAAAAATGAACTAAATAAAATACACAAAAAAAGAGAAATTTTAAAGTCATTTTGGTACTAATATCAATATTTTTTTTTCAATTTTTTATAATATCGACTGAGACAAAGAAAAAATGAAACATTAAAATTGAGATGTATTTTCACTGCATTAACGAATACTCTTCTAGTATTATATTATAAAGTAGTTTACTAAAAAAGAACAACCCCCTTATACAATTACTGTTATTTAATATATATATCTCTTAAAATTCAAGGTTACATGTAATATAACCTTTGAATCCTACTAAAAGGACATAATATTTTCTTCAAAAACTAACTTAAATTGCATATTTATTTTTAACTCCAATGGTTTCTTCTTAAATTTGGGAAGAAAATAACGAAAATTATTTATTTGTGTTTTAAAAGATAAGGAAAATGAAAATCAAAAAAATTAAAATAAAAATCCGTTATGTTTTATTCATGGTTTGTAACTGATTAGTAATTTTGTATATTTTATTAATCTTTTTAAGGTTTATTTTCTCTTTCCTTATCTTTCTTCTTGCGAGGAAAATTACCATTTAGGGGTTGTTTGTTTATATTTTAATAGTTTTATTAAGAGAACTTCTGAATCGTTAAGAGGTGAATATTGTTTGGCAAAAAAAATATGTCTCTTAATGGTTTTACAATCCTATGAATGATTTTGTATCATAGATCTTCCTTAACCATTAAGAGCCCTAATTTTATTGTACACAATTACCAAACAATAATATTATGAGAACACAATCAAAATCAAATTAATTATCTTCACGATTCATTTCATTTGCCATTAGAGCGCGAGGTTTTTGCCTCGTCGTTTTCTTCTATCTTTTTTCTTTTAAAGAAAAAGTTATGAGAACACAATCAAAATCAAATTAAATAAATTATATCAAAGAATAATTTTTTTTATTTAATATTATGTCAATATACTTTTTAGAATTTTTTATTTATATTATAAATTAGTAAAACATGTTCCACTAATATTTACAATTTCCAAAAAGATTTCAAAAACACATGTTTTTTATTTCTCAATCTTTCATTTCCTTAGTAGGAAAAAATTAAAAATTATAATATAAAATATTTATATTATAAATAAAATTTTGAACTAAACAATTACATAAAAAAAAAAGATAAATTACATGAAAAATTAACGTACTTTAACTTGCTATTTTGGTATTTAAGATGTAAAGTTTTAAACATGTAAGTACCTGAGTAAATGGTTGAAGCATTAACCGATTACCATGTTGATGTGACGAGTGATGTGGTACCCGGTTAATGTTTAAGCAAGTAATAATGCGTTGGATACCCCATCAGTCACCACATAAGCATGATAACCGGTTAATACTTCAAATGATTACTCGAGTATTTAAATGTTTAAAACTTTACATTTTAGGTACCAAAATAAAAGTTTTAAAAGTACGAGATTTAAAATAGGAATCAAGTTAAAGTACGTTACTTTTTCATGCAATTTACCTATAAAAAATGATAATTTTGTAATTTTTATTTTGATACCTATATAATATTTTTTATATAATTTATTTATTTAGTTTCCAAATTAGTCATCAACACTTGTAAGTTATATTTTGTTAAAATATAAATTATAGATTTCTTTAGTAAAAAGTTACATTTATCTTTTATTTATTTTTTTACTATAAAAATCTTGTATCTTCTTGAATAGCAAGAGTACACGTGATCTAAATTAGAGAAGGAAAAAGTAATTCGACTCCAACAATTTATTTATTTAAAAGATTTCATTAATAATTATATTATTAAAATATTCTAATAAACTTTCACCATATTTCCATTAAATAATAACTTTATATATATATATATATATATATATATACCCCTCATAATTAATGCATTTTATATCTAATAAAAAATTTAAATTTAAGACTTTTTATATCTATACTGTATTATAAAGTATTTGATAAAAACTCTTAAAAACTATTTTTATGCATGAAATACTGTTTATTAGTGCATATTACTTAAAATTCAAGATTGCAGGTAACTTGTGCGTAAGTACAACTTATTAAAACTTCATGTTTGAATTCGTATAACTAACTGCATATAAATATAATCAAATAGAGGATAAATATTTTATTTTAAATATAAAAAATCTAAAATATAATTAGAATAATCATTGAATTATAACAAAATACTTAATCATTATATTTATAAAAAGTTATATTATTAAACCAAAAATTAAAAAAAAATGAATTAAAGAAATACACAGAAAAAATAGAATTTTTATATAGTTAGTTTGATACTAATATCATTTATTTTTTATGATATATCTTCACATTTATATTTTATTCAAAAATGAAACCATTATCGTTTTCTCAAAACCACATAAAACCGTATTATACTATCGACTGAGATAAAAAAATAAAAAAAATGTTAAAATTGATTTGTATCTCGCTACGTTGTGCAAGTACCCCGATTTTTGTGTGGTTTTAATAGATTGAGAGCCTTTTGACATGTTATCAATTTAGGATGTTTTCTTACTCACAAAACACAAAATTTAAAACAGTTTTAGAGTTCTTGAATTAATACCATCTTTGTCGTATGTTGTTGCTATATAGCTACAATAGACAATTAAATGGTGATTAATGAGCTACTAATGTTGAAAATTAGCAATATTGATTCAGGGCATTTTATTAAAATGTTTCATGAGCAAAATGCATCTTTTAAACAATATCAGTGTTTATCAAATCAGAACTACCACAACCCTGTGTTGTTGCAACAATTTGGTAGCCATGACGGTGAATTAAACAATGAAAGAGCTACTAATGTTGAAAACGCCCTATATTGATTTAGGGCACATTATATCTTTCAAACAGTTTCAGGTTTTTACGAATTAAAATCATCTCAATCTTATGTTGTATCAACAATTATAATGACGTGTATCAGTTTAAGGTATATTTTATCTTTCAGACAGTTACAAGCTTTACGAATTAAAATCGTCTCGATCTTATGTTGTATTAACGATTGTAATAATCAAGACGATTACTTAGATGGTGATTTATGAAATACAAACTACAAATGTTGAAAGTGACATATATGGATTTAGGACGTTTTTTTTATTGACCTGAATATCCAACCCGCTATGCGAGCCGACTAATCCTAGGACGACCACCTGCTTTGCAGATAGCCCGGAGTCACCGCATTTGAATCTTCTTGGCCACAAGGGAATTTTTATTTCTCATTGGATTTAAACCTGGGACCTTCAGGTACTTTTGACCTTTGGAGTCAAGCTCAAACCAATCAGGCACCACCCTTGTGGTTGATTTAGGACGTTTTCTTAACACGTTTATGAGCGAAACTCATCTTTCAAATAATTTCAGGGTTTTTTTTTTCAAAGTAAAACTATCACAACCCTATGTTGTTGCGACAATGGTGGAAGACAGTTCATTAAATTGTGATTAATAAGCTACCAATGTCGAAAATGACTATATTTAACTAGACGATATTAATGAGATACCCTTGTTGAAATTGAAATATATTTAGGTCGATTGCATCATGGTGATCTGATCAGCATCGTGTATTAGGTTTCGACACCCGATCTTTTGAAAAGCTCATCCATGTGCGCTTTCTTATTTAATGAGATACTTTACAATCTCGAAACATAACAACATTTTCAGAAACCCTAACTCGTTACAAAAGTTTAACGACATTAATTAAATATTATAATCACGATAAATAATTATTTTAGTCTATGACCGATAAAAAACGTACAAGTTGCGAAACATAGTTTATTATTATTTAAAAAAAATATAGAGTTGAGATCATATGAAACATATTAGGTTTTATGAAATCCTTGAGAGAAAACAGGTATCGGATCTGATCATAAACCTCTTATTAGTCTCTGTCGTTAAGTGAGTCAAAAAATGTTCGTTTACAGTGGTCTTCTCGAAAGCAGGTTTCAGTTGAAGTTGTCGAAACTCAACTTTTTGGTTAAATATATAACTGATTAAAAAATAATCATATAATTGTAAATTATTTTTGGAAAATAAAATGGAAGACTGAGATTTGACTTCATTTTACCTCTCTTCCATTATCTTCTGAGTTCTGTGGTTAATTTCTGAGAAGGTTGTACGTACAAGCAGACAAAGCGTACAAGGTACAACATCGGGAATCACCCATGGATCCTGTCAACGCCGTTTGACTACTCTTTTCTTTTCTCAACAAACACTAAACGACAAAGCTGAGTTGGCACCAGGGTACTTTCGTAATTTACTCACACCCTTCAACCGCTATATAAATTCATCCAAATCCTTCGATTCCACGTCCGACTGTTCCTCACCCACCGAAATGAGAACTCGACGAGGAACTTCGTATCCTGTGGTCAACAACATGGCCGGTCGGAAGAGAAATGATCGGAGTGACGCCGGAGCTCAGATAGCGAACAGCCGGAAAAGGCTGAGGTCGTCGTCGCCTAGGGCACCGGTGGCTGCTCGATTTGATTTCTTTGATAAGCTACCAAACGACATCGTTCTGTCCATTCTTGCGAGAGTCGTCTACGACGCCACTTGTCCGGCCGATTTCCTCGCCGTTTCAGCAACGTAAGGAATCGGAATCGGAAATGTGAAAATTTTCGTTTGTTTTTAGATTTCTAGTTGCGAAAAGAATTTTGACTTTTTATATTGATTGGTGTGAAACAGGTGCAAAAGATTGAACGATTTAGGGTTTGATTCGTCTGTGTTATCGAAAGCTTCACCGGAAACCTTTGCAGTAAAAGCTAAGAAGTGGTCGGAATCTGCTCACCGGTTTCTGAAACGCTGCTCCGATGCCGGAAATGCTGATGCTTCTTACACATTGGGCATGGTCGGTTTTTTGCATCTCTTTATCTCCTGTTTTATAATTAATTATTTACATGTAATAAATTATGTTTTTTTTTCTGATGAACAGATTGAATTCTACTGCTTTCAAAACTGGTCAAGTGGCGCATCGCTAATGGCGAAGGCGGCGCTTGATTATCACGCTCCGGCGTTATACTCACTCGCCGTCATTCAGTTCAACGGTAGCGGTGGCGGAAAGAAGGAGAAGGACTTACGCACCGGCGTCTCATTATGTGCGCGTGCGGCTTATCTTGGCCACATTGACGCACTTCGGGAGCTGGGCCATTGTCTTCAAGACGGTTACGGCGTTCGTCAGAATATCCCCAAGGGCCGCCGGATTTTGGTTCATGCTAACGGACGTGAACTAGATGTCGTTCTTTCAAGATACCCGTTGGCAGTAAAGTCCGGCGAGTGGTTGAAGTGGAACCCCCTCAACCTCTACCGCCCTGAAAACGCCATGGTTGTAAGTTTTCCATTACTGAGTGATTTCGGATGGAACGTACCACCTCTGGAATCTCACCCGGCGAACCGTTTTCTTGCTGAATGGTTCGCCGTTCAGAATCCATCTCCTCTGATGCGGATGTGTTCTCACGCTGGTTGCGGCCGACCGGAGACTAGGATTCACGAGTTCCGGCGGTGTTCGGTGTGCGGCGTCGTGAACTACTGTTCCCGGGCATGTCAAGCACTCGATTGGAAATTCCGTCACCGGAGGGAATGTCGACCAAGGGCCAGATTTATGAACGCAATTCCCGGCGGAGATAATGTGAACGTTGATCGGGGAAATCAATAGCTGAAAAGATTAGCGGTGGCCGGAGATGATAGATGTGACGGAAACTGTGTCGGCGTGGAAAATAGTCAAAAGCCAAAAGTTCCGTTTAGGGTAGTTCTGGTTATCGGTCACATTCCCGGTAGCCGGAATCTGGTTTAGCAATTAGTTGAAGGGTAGCAATTTTGTATTAATGGCTGCTACTTCCTTTTTTAAAGCAAATTATTATATATTATAAAAAGGAAGTGTGGCTTAAATATTAAATCATAAATACATGAAAACATTAAAAGTTTATAGTCTTTTTATGCCTAAATGAAACATAGGAATGAATGTATGCTTTTTTTTATATTAGAAGAGTATTATCTGATGCAACGGCATACATCTTAATTTTAATATTTTTTTTATTTTTTTTTATTGATGTTATAATACGGTTTATGTGGTTTCAAGAAAAACGATAATGTTTTTATTTTTGAATAAAATATATATTTAAATATATTATAAAATTTAAAAAAAATATATCAATATTATTGTTGTGTAATTTATTTAATTCAATTTTTTATTATAATTTATTTTTATTTTTTAAATAAAAATAATAATTAAGTATTATGTTAGAACATAATTATTATACTAATTATATTTTAGATTTTTTATATTTAAAATGAAATTTTATCTTGTATTTAATTATGTTTATATGCAGTTATTCACACGAATTCAAGAATAAAAGCTTTAATAAGTTGCACTTGTGCATTATTTTCTTGTAATCTTGAATTTTAAGTAATATGCATCAATAAACAGTACTTCATATAAAAAATGGTTTTTAAGAGTTTTTATCAAATGCTTTATAATATAGTATAGATTATTTAACGGTAGTATAAATACATCCTTATATATTGTTAAACAATATATAATAGAACAAAGCAAATATCAATGTTTCACGTTTGACAAGACTTTTATGTGTAAGAGACATGAACAAACATGTTTCGCACCCACTCTATGGAACAAAGTGGAATTTTCAAAATAAAACTTAATTTTTTTTAAAATAAAAGCCAAATACGCCACCTCTTTACATTTTACTTATTATTTAAATTTTATTTATTTTAAACTTTCACTTTATTATCATCAAAACATTATTTTTTACGGTTTCTATATTTTAACTAATTATGTAATTGATTAAATAATAATGATAAAAAAATGTACAAAATAAAAATTAGAAAATGCACACATTTTTTTATTATAGTATCATTTTAAAGAAAACTTTCTAGTGATATATTTTATTTTAGCTTAATAAATTAATCAAAATATACAAACAATTAATTAGAGGTAAATTGGTTATTTTATCTGTTCTAACATGTTCAGTAAACAGTATCAGTACATATTTAACATTTGATGTGAGAACATAGAAGGAAATTAATTAAATGGTTGATTTTGATTAAGAGTTTTGTAGTTTTAATTTGATTCTTTTTATAACATATTATGAGTATTGAAAAGAGAAAAGAGATGGTATTTAGGTTTGGTTTCTTTTAAGTGAGAAAGGCAAAAGCAATAGACTTTGCACACATTAAAAGGCATCCAATGCCATTTATTTATCATTCTTCCCACACCTTTTTACCTTTTTATGTTGGCAAAAAAAAACCTTCAAATTTTAAATAATGTACCATATATATACACGTACATGTATAGATGAACGATCAAATGCAAACCACTTAATTTATACAAACCGTGCAAACCAGTCTCATCCGTCGATTTCATTATTTAATCTTATGACATTTTTTATGAAATTGTTTCATGTAATACTATTTTTTTGATGAAGTTGTTTCATATATAGTTATGGAATTGTTTCATATAATATTTAATGAAATTTTAATGAAACCGTTTTATGTATTTATCTAAAATTAAAATAATGAAGATGATAATATCCATGATTAACACCCTCCACAATAAAAATGATTAATCAACCTCTTATAATTACAAAAAAATGAACAAAATGAGAAATTATGATTGGTTGAATAAGGTTTGGTATAAATAACGTGGTTTGCAAAGTAAACCTCATCTATATATAAAATGTGTGTAATTGTTGCAAGTGATATAAACCAATCTCAATTGTGTAGATGATCAAGAGTGTAAATTGAATTGGTTTTCTAAATTTACTTTCAACCTCATCTTTAACTGATTCAATAACCGTCTTTAAAATTTTAAAAATAAACAAAATGAAGGGTCCATGTTTGATTTGTATGCAAGATCGGCCCTTATCTAGGGTGACAAGTGCCATTGCCCAAGGTAGCCTAGCCCAACTTCCAATAATCGTTAGTAGGCCAAGTTTCAAAAAGAATAAACAAAATTAGCGATTCTCGACTTCTGTTCTCTTTCAGTTCGTATCCATGCTGCATAACTCTTATCTAGTTGTCTCCCTCATTCCATCGCTTCTTCCCTAACAATGCCAGTCCCCAACCACACCTCCCTCTCAATCCCTCGTCTGATTTGAGTCCAATCTGATTCGGTCCTTGTGCCAAATCTGATTTGAGTCATCATTTGCCCTAGTACCCAGGTATTTTTTTTAATTAAGTGATTAGTAATTACAGATAACTGATAGAGGGAAACTGGATGTTTAGGGTTTGAATATCTATAAAAACGCACATGTTGTTATCAAATATTTAATGAATACCTAAAAAGGGGAGGATAGTCGTTAAAATGGTTTCTGAATATGTTAAAATTTTGCCTGCAAGTGGAAGGAAGCTTTTGAATGGGGTAACTATTGGAAGTCATTTTCTTTCTTTTGCAACTGCGATCCAATTTCAAACAGAAAGTAGTTTTCAATTGAAGAGTCGGTTTGCATTGTTGAAAATATGTTATGATCAAATGGCATAGTGAATCTATCTTTCTGTTGTAGTTTAATCTCTTTAGCTCTGGAGGGTATGGTGTATCTATACCTCTACTATGTGTTTTCATATTTAGGGGGTGTTTGGGATTGCTTATTTGGAATAGCTTATGTTTTTCTATAAAATCACTTATCAACTTATTATAAGTCAGAAGAGTTTAACTTCTTCAAAAACTTCTTATTACCGGTTTGGCACCGGTATAAGTTGTTCATCCAAACACTCAAAAGTACATATTAACAGTGTCACACTGGAATAAGTCAATAAGTTGTTTTTATAAGAAATCCCAAACACCTCCTTAGTCAATTAATGAGCATGACAAAGTAAGAAAGCAACTCAAATTGCGTAAAAATCCGATGTTGGTTTGAAACAATTGTTGCTTTTGATGTATGCTTGCGGGTTACTCCATTTGTTATCTAATTGATTAATGAGCATGCCTGAGTTTATCTTTCTCCACACAATTGTTACTTCTGATTGTATGCTTGATATTCTCAACTTGGACAAGTGATCACTGTTGACAAATTGATCGAATGGTGAGATTTCAATTTAACTATTTACTTGGATTAAAGACTTTAATTATACATGTCAGTTTAATTATAAAGTTACTATTTTACAGGTGATTCGTTCTCTTAACATTGTGTTGACTACCATACCTGGTTCACTTATACAGCTAGGTTACTGGTTGCATGCATTGTGCATCCATCATACCCATACTTCAAATTTACCGTTGTTCACGTTGGCATAAGTAAGTTTCTCTATTTCTCACTAGTTTCTTTCATGTATTAATGTTTGAGTTCCCTCAACTTTCAAAAAATGTTGTACTCTTCGTGGTAGAAGTCATGTCTACATATATCCCAACCCTCAATCCCCCTCCCCCTCCCCCTACCTCTGGTGTTACATATTGGTTTGTTTGATTTGTTTTATGTTATATACATTAATTTTGATCATTTATCACCTGAAGTGAAAATGAACCGCCTAACTTGACTATGTATCTCCCCAGGGCATCTAGAATCATAGGACCGGCTTTATTTGTATGGTTTGTAACAATTACATGGTTTTTATTTGAATCTCATATGTATATATATATACACACACACACACACACATATATATATATATATATATATGTGTGTGTGTGTGTGTGTGTGTGTGTACACACAGAGAGAGACTCATTCAAAGGAGAACTGATTAGTTTGTGGTAACCGTGAGATCCAATTTAACCACTCGTTTGAGATATTTAAGGAAATTTGTTAAATAAGCTAAAAGGGTAATATAATAATTATAGGTTTGACAATTAATCAAATTATTTAATTAAATTTTTTAGAAGGAAATTTTTTTATTAAAATTAGTTTCCTAGTATATCAATTACCCAATATACATTGTATTTTAAAGACGTTCGTGAATCAAAATGTATCATAGTGATAGCGTTCACAATGTTTCACGTGTTTCACAATGTATTTTCTTTGTTTTATGAAATGTATCATAGTATGCATTTTCGTTATTTTTATTGCTTTACAAATGGTATCACATGGTGCATCTTATATGTACATCTAGGTATTACAGTAAATATCGTTTGTAAGTATCACAATGTGTATCTTGTGTTCACATAAGGTTAATCAGAATATGATTCGCCGAATAGATTCTCCAGAGAGGAAAGATGAGATATGAGAGATGATATTTATAAAATTCCTAAAATACCTTTAATTAATATTTTAAGTTAAAATTACCAAAAATATTAATTTCATAATTTAACTTTTGATTTGTGTTTGAGATAAGATCTCACGATTAACACAAGGAAAACAGTTCTCATTTGATTAAGTCGTATATATATATATATATATATATATATATATAACAACTTAGATTTAATAAATATTGGTCTAAGTAAAAATTACAGGTCAATAACATATGTTTGACACATTAATTTTGAAAATAAACTAATTTAACACCATTTTCGACTCAACCCTTACAAATAGTCGATCCGTTCAACACTAAAAAAAGTTAAACTCCAACTATACGTTAAAAAAAACATTTAATGCTATATATTATTTAATATTACATTATTTTATTAAAAACATAATAATTATAACATATAATACAAAGTATTTAATTATCTATGTTTATTCAAATTTTATTATTTTAGTCATCAATTTTTGACTTCCATAATTGGAGGCCAAAAGAGCCATCGCTATTTTAGCGATCGCATTTACAGATGGGTTGGAGGCAGGTATGTTGCCCCTTCATTTTGTGTTATAGCCTTGGAGATGCTCTAAGGTGTATAATATGTAACGTAAGACCTATGAAAGATCATAATGGAAAAGTTACAGAAAAATAAATACTGCAATAAATACATATTTTAATATATATATATATATATATATATGGAACTTTCAGAAAATATTTGGAATATTACCTTCTAATTTAATCTGAAATA